TCACCCAAAAGAACAGGGTCATGCCTTTCTCCTCCATTCTGTTTTCCCCCATCAGACCTGATGTGTTTTTCAAGCTGCCAGCATCAGGATTCGAACCAGGAGTTGGCCATTTGGGATCTAGCTCCCTTAACTGCCGAGCAACAGGCTGAAGCCACTCTTCTTCTTAAGATGCTTCAGGGGAATCTCATTAATGATAGGAATGCTTCAGCACTTAGAGGGAAGTATACTGATACCGGCAACTTGCTTTGAAAAGCATTAAAAAAAAAAGGTCCTAGAGTAGGACACACGTGAAAAAGCAGTAGTTCAATGGCAATGGAAGGACCTAGGTTAAGATTTATGAGCACTAACTGTAAACTTCCTCCAACTTTTCTGTATGCTGAGAACTTCCTTAACTGTGATGAAGAACCGTTCAGTCTTCCTGCCGCCCCTGCAGGTAAAGGGGGAATGTACAGGTGGCATTTCTTACACAGTCCCCTACCTTCCTGGCCGTCTCTCACAGTGTCTGACCCATGCGCTAGGTTCTAGACAGTCACAGTTTCTTCTAGGAATTGCTTCCATTGCAAGAAAGAGGCCTCATTCTTTCTCAACTCGCAATCTGCACATGGACAGCAGTCACTCCTCTCTGGAATGCCCTCTTCCTCTCACCTACGAGAGCTGTAGCTTATCCTTCTGGTCTCTAAGACACTGTCTTGGAGCCCACGAGTCTGGTTACGCGTCCTCCTCTGTACTTCCAATTGCACACTGCACGCTTCGGGCACCGCGTTATAGTCGGTCATCTTATCTGTGTGTTTCCCCAGCAGATTGCAAGTGTGCCAAGTCTGTTCCCTTCACTCAACAAAAACTCTAGGCAATTTCTCTTAACGGTAGACAGAATATAAAATCCCTGCTTTAAAAAAAAAAAAAAGACTTTGCCAGAGGGTGTGTGCACGCTTCAGAGACAGAGACAGACAGACAGAGGGCAAGTGAGAAAGAACCCCCTATGGGGAATGGTCGCGCTGCAATCCCTTCTCCAATTCACCCCTGTGGGGACTGTGGGCACTCACGTATACTCAAGCACATGGGCTTGGTGTGTTTTTCAAGCTACAGGGTTCAGGACTTGAATAAACCACAGGTGCTCTCCCCCCCTTATTTTTTTTTTTTTTTTTTTAACATATGCCAGTCATCTCTTACTAGGTGTGAATTGTCAACGGGGATGGGAAAGGACTCAACGCACTCCTTGGAGGGGCACTCAGCTGAGGAGATGTCAGTCTGGCTCAGTGTGTGCCTCCACGCAGGCCCTCCTCAGTGATGTCTGTGTCACCGCTCCTGTGCGAGTCCCTTGTAAGAAAGGCAGTAGTGGGACCAGCAGGTGGTGTGGTGGCTAAGGCGCTGGATACTCCCACATGGCCAACCATAGTTCGAGTCCTGGACCTGGTGGCTTGCTTTCTCACTTTCCCTCTCTATCTCTCTCTCTCTGTCTCTCTGGTCAAATTAAAAATAAATGAATGAATAAATAAAATTAAATAAATAATTCTTTAAAATAATACTCATCACAAATTAAAAAAAAAATGAATGTGAAAGTACACCCGATGTCCAGATCTCTTATCAATATTCACGTCTATTCACGTCTCTTAGTCACAACCACAGTCTCTATTTTCACTATACTTCATCTGTGTCTGTCCTGCATCTACCACAGTCTTTCAAAATCACTCACTACTTTATCTATACAACTCACATGGTCACCTCTCATCAATAACAGATCAATTAACGGTGTAAGCTTATACTTTCTTCCCACACTGAACTTGGGACAACTTTTCCAGACACTGAGCTAAGCTGTTGGTCATAACTATTCTACCACAGCCGAGCCAGACTGAGATATTATAAAGTCTATTTATGCAGTTGGGGTAGCTTAAACTCATGCTGGGCACGTGTGTGTGCATGTCCAAGATCCGGAGAGGAGAATGGAGGAGAAGGGATTGCAGCATGGCCATCCCCCCTGGGGGGTGATTTCTCGCTTTCTGTTTCTCTGTCTCTCTCTTTCTCTCTGGCGAGCACACCGTTCCAAAAAAAAAAAAAAGAAAAGGTTCAAATTCTGGATGCATGTCCTTTGGCACTGGTAGACTTTAGAAAGTAATCTTTAGTAGCAACCATTTAAGAAACAAGTCACTAGGGACCAGTAGTTAGCGTAAATGGCTATGTCGCTGGACTCCCACGTAGTTGACCACGGTTCGAGTCCCGGACCCGGTGGCTTAAAACTCACGCCAGGTGCGTGTGCGTGCGTGCCCAAGATCCCGAGAGGAGAAGGGATTGCGGCATGGCCATCCCCCTGGGCGGTGATTTCTCGCTTTCTATCTCTCTGTCTCTGTCTGTCTGGCGAGCGCACAAGCCCTATAGCAAAAACCTCTCCAAAAAAAAAAAAACAAGTCACTAAATTACAAGTTATGTTTGGAAACCAAAACACAGAGCCTAATAGTGTGAGAAGTAAAATGAAACAAAATAAATAGTTACGTATTACTTTATCCTGCACAGTTAGTATACTATAAAGAAGTATAGCACTGGGCCGTGTGGCTTCAATGCTGAAAGAACTCACTGGCCTATCCAGTTCCTCGGCCTTCAGCTGGCAGCGAGACACAAACCCCGGCTTTACGCCAGCCAGCCAAACAGTTAATGATCTGTAAACACACACTTACACAAGTACAGGGTTCCTGTTCAAGTGGACTACGAGGAAAACCCTTCTGTAAAGTAAAGAGCCCTTTTAGGGG